TTTCTTTGAAGCTCTTCTTTCGCTTCTTGGTAAATCTTTTTGCGAGATTCCTCGGAAAGATCTTTTACGGCTGTTTTTTTGTTCCTTATGTCCGACTTTAATTTCTCGTACTTTTCCTCTTCAGCCAGAATAAGCGAGAATTCTACGTCGTCTATCTTTCTGTCAAGCAATGCCTTTGAGACAAGATCGGTAATTGTATTTACTTTAGCCCTTGACAGAGCTATTGTCGTGTCATGTTTGGATATTTTGCTTGACAACTGTTTCATAATGCCCGTAGCAACAGCAGAAATAATACCACAGGCTGCCCCAACGCCGGCCAAAGGAACTCCAACAATTATTCCCGGTCCAGTAAGTGAAGTAGCAACGCCGGAGCCCATTAACACAACAGATATGGACCCTGAAGTTATCGCAATCTTATGTAGCGTACTCCGGGCTCTGGCGTACTTTTTTCGGACTTTTTCGTAGTGTTTTGTCTGTCCTTCCAAGTAAGCCAGGATTAAGTTTGACTTATTAAGACGAAAGTTTTCTGCGTTTAGTTCGTTAGGACCCTCCTTGGGTAGATCAGGATAAAGTGGAGGTGCTGATGGTATAACATCCATTATATATACTAATGTACGACGCTTTTGAGAATGATATTGAGGAGCAGCCACATCACGACAACAGGGATTACTGGAATTGGAGAGCATTTAGGAAGATGTTTCCACATGCAGACCCTAGTAAGTTTGAAAGAAGGCCAGATGGGATTTACTTCAACGGCGAAAGAATGTACAGTAATGCGGACTTGGAGCCAAAGGCGACCGTCAAGCAACCAAAACCCGCGTATGAAGAAAGGCAACCTAATTTTCCAGAGAATCTATTACCGACAACAGAGGATTACCCATTTTACGACAACAAAGATGCGGAAGACTTTGCTAAAATGGTTACCTCTTTGGAGATTCCCGTGGGTCCTACGACTTCCAAGACAAAGGTCAGAGACATCTTTAGAGAAACTGCCATGAAACATACCTCAGGGAAAGAATGCAGAGAATGGTTATCAGGCCCCAACATGCGGTATTGGCCGCAGCAGTTAAACTTTGCTGTCTGGGCTGCTACTAAAGGATGTGGTATAGCCGCGGACATGTTCCATATTCCTTTCCTAAGATTTCATGTTGCTTTTACTATTCGTAGGATATTGTTTGAGTTAGGAGCGCCGCTTCCTGGTGACACTGTCTTTAACCCAAAGGATAACAAATATGACAAAGTCGCATGGGAGCGATTAAGGAATGAGTTCCATCTCCACGACCCCGACACTCGCAACAAAGAGGGTGCCGCCCATGGTTTAGGAGAGACTTACACCTATGCTTCGTATGTTGGTGCTAGCATAGAAACTCCAGGCATGGGGTATCCTAGCTCTTACGAATTCTCGGACTTAGGAGGCAGCGGAACAAAGGGTAATCTAATTCACTTCAT